CTTACATAATACTGTTTCGCGAATCCCTTTGTAAAAAAGGTACGAAGTGCACACGCGCGCGTCGTCGCGCACGCATGCCGGAATCCTTCAACAACCCTCGGTGTCGGAAGGGTTTCGCAACACTGATTTGCTAAAAAAGTGTCCGCGCGAGCTCTTGCGAAATATTAAGAAAACCATAGGTTTTTCAAGATTTTCACAAAATGCTATCAAACGGGCTTCGCGCGCGCTCATGTCGAAATCTGTCGAACGCCCCTGCGCGCATGCCGTCGCGAGAATCCTCTGCAGAAAATTGAACGAAGTGCAGACGCGCGCGTCGTCGCGCGCGTACGCCGAAATCCTTCAAAACCCATCGGTTTCGAAGGGTTTCAAAATCGTGTGTCCAAAAAACCTACAAAAACACAAGGTTTCGCAACACGGATTTTCAACAAAAGCGTGCGCGCGCGCTCTTGCGTCGACGTCGTCGTCGTCGCCGTCCTCCCTCCTCCCGCGTCGTCGTCGTCGCCTACGTCGTCCTCTGTCTTTCCTCGTGTTCGACGTCGTCGTCTTCTTTGACGTCGTGGTCGTTTCCGTCGTCGTTGTCGCCGTGGTCGTCCTTCCTCCTCCTCCGTAGTCGTCGTCGTCGTCGTCGTCGTCGTCCGTCGTCGGCGTCTCGTCGTCGTCCGCCCTATTTCGTCGCCGTCGTCGTTGTCGTTGTCGTTGTTGTCGTCGTCTTCCCTCCTCCCTCGTCGTTGTCGTCGTCGGCGTCGCCGTCCTTCCTCCTTCTTCGTCGTTCGCGTCGTGGCCGTCCTCCCTCCTCCCTCGTCGTTGTCGTCGTTGTCGTCGTTGTCGCCGTCGTCGTCCTCCCTCCTCCCTCGTCGTCGTCGTCGTCGTCGTCGGCGTCGTCGTCGTCGTCGTCGGTGTCGTCGTCGTCGTTGCCGTCGTCGAAGTCGTTGGAGACGTCGTCGGTGTCGTCGTAGTCGGTGTCGGCGGCGCCGCCGTCGTCGTTGTCGCTGTCGTCGTCGGCGTCGGTGTCGTGGCCAAGTGCCATGTGGTACACACCGTCACGGTCTTGCCTTAAGAGGTCTTGCGACCAAGTTGCGGGTGGGAGGGTGGGATGTTTGCACGAGCAGTGGAGCGGACAGCTTCAAGACGGTCAAAGTGAATTGCACAGTATAGATCGCACCATGTATACTGCAGCACACATATTCACAAGATCGCACCACACATATCGCACCACACAGCTTGCACCACGTAGATCGCACCAGATAGGTTGCACCACACCGATTGCTCCACCTATATTGCCCAACGTATATCGCACCACACAAGTTGCACAACACAGATTGCACGACATATGCGTATTGCACGACGCACGTGGCACAACATAGATCGCACCACATAGGCTGCACCACATAGATTGCACCGCCTATTTTGCACAACATAGACTGCATCACAAAGATTGCCCACTTGGATCGCACACGATTGATCGCAAGACACACACTGTTGGAGATCCGCGATGGTCAACATATTCCAGTGCATCTCTTTACTCGGAGGCGCTGGACTGCTGGAAGGACGGGTTCCGAATCGATTGTCGAAGCTCTGCCAATGGTTTGGTCCCAAAGCGATGCGGCAGTATTCGGAAATCTGGGGGGACTGCTGCACCCAATATTGCAACGAAGTTGATTGGTTGATTGGCATCGCCCGGAGCTCAACTCTGGACACAAGGAAAAGCAAAGCACACCTCCCCACAAAATGCATCAACCGGGAGCGCCATCTGATCCCGTGACGCTTTGAACAATGCTAACGCTTCACACATTCCAACCACAACCTATTTCGAAAGACACGCGACTCGTGCAAGAAGTGCCCGCCCCCCACGCGAAGGAAAGGGTATGTCCCGCAACTCGAGCTTGTTGGCAGCCGTCGTCAACATTCTGATGCTCAACGGTGTGATGGCTCAAAAACAATTTCAGCAGACGTCCAGGCCTTGTAGGTGAATAGTTGTTCATCGGGCTTCCGCCTCAATTGTAAATCACGTCTGAAAAACTGGCACTCTCACGAAGGAGGACAGCCGAGAAGACTGTTCCTTAAGTGCCTCGCGCCTGGACCAATCATTGCACACGCAACCGGCACTGTCGACCAAACCAGCTACTTGCTAGCAAAGCAAACCGGGTCACTGAGCACGCGGATGTTCGCCGAGAAGACAGCACCGACTTTGTAAAAACTAAACTCCGCAGAAACTTCCGTTTTGGCCAGAGCACTCAAGCAGGCCTCAACATCATAAAGCTGCATGCAACTACGGAGGGACGGGTATTTGCACTGAGGCGGTCGACCTTGGACAGATGCCGCACCGCTGCAAGAACCAAGTAATGATCCGCATAGCATGCACTCCAAGGTCTAAAGATTCGAAGCAAAGTAGAAGCTCGAAGCCTCGGTCAGGTCCGTCGCCGTATCGAAAACTCGCGGGGACCTCTGGAAGAAAAAAGAAACATGTTGGTCCATATCAGGTGCGAGAAGTTGTAACCACCATCAGAGATGTCGAAAAAACAGGATTGTGTGAGACGCCATTGCAAGATCAGATAAAAAGCTCCAGGACATGCTCTGCAGTCGTGCTCACATAACCAGGCGGTCCTATTCCCACCTGCTTTCCGCCAGCTTGCAAGGGGGCCCCATCAGACTAAGGCGAACCTGGAAGAAACATTGAGCACTGCATGAAAGACGTCTCCCGCCCGGACTTGATGATTGAGGACAAAACATGGATTTGGGAATTACCAAACGCGGCTTTCATATCCAGAACAGCAAGTGTCAAAGAAAAGAACGTCGCGCACCCGATGTAGCCTGCATGAGGACCGAAAGCGCGTCTCCCAAAGGAAAGCAGTGCGGAGTCCAAACATGCTTAATGGAGGTGGAGTCAAAGACAAAGTCGCCAGCGGCTACAAGCCACGTATATACCACGTAGTAACAAAGCCTAGCTTGCAAATAGAGCAGAAAGCCTCGAAGCCTGCTGCACTTTACGATGCAAGACGTATCACAAACGCACTTTAAGCTGTCATGTTAGCGTATCCTCAGGGTCGCTGTTGCCTGAGCAAGATGTTCGAACAAGTGCTAGATGATGAAAATAAGCTGGTACGCTACGGGCTTGTACTTCATGGCGCCATCACCGCCTGCGAACTTCATGACCTTCACTAAGGCAGACCAGCAAGGACATAGCATAACCAGAGTGAGGGGGCCATGTGACCATCCCTTCAGCACGAAGGCGTTCAAGTCGTGCTTGCTGGTCTGCACTATCTTCCGATGGGTTCACACATCGAGTAGCGCCAGAACTTGCACCTTCTGTGCCCAAGCTTCTCGGCCAGCCGATGGGACCCCGCCTGTGGCGAGGTGGCGTGGCAACGGCTGCAGAGCCTGCTGCTGGAGAGGCCGGCAACTCTGCGCGCGGCACGCTGCTTCTGGGTCATTCTGACGGCGCGTCGAGGTATCCAAACTGCCAAGTGGCGCTCGCACCCCTCTGACTTGGCTGCCGTCCGCCGTGCTGCCGTTACAGATGCACCTATGGGTTTGTCGTGGCCCTTCGGCTCTATCCTCCTATCCGTCCTTGTTCTCCACCTCCTCCTGCACTCCGCGGCAGGAGGCCGCGATGAAAAAGCAGGGGGGCGCCGCAACGTAACTGACTGTGGTGCGCGATGCAGCCGAGAGCATAAGCAGATTCACGGCCAAGGTAGGAGAAGATCTGGCGAGGCTGATCGATCCGTCATTGGCAGAATGCAGGCTAGCACCACGGAGGGCCCCGATGCAAACGTACATCCCTGACCAGATGCAGACAGGCGTCCCTCGTGCAAAACACGGGCTGCTTAGGTCACTGCGAAACTAGGCGGTCAGGCATACGCCGCCTTTCATGCGGCCAGCAGGGTTGACGAATGGTGCCGTTGGTCGCTCGAACCCTCGCGTTACTGCTATCACTCGTGCTGCAAAGCCTGCTGGCCAGCGGCGGTTAATGGTCGCGCTACTGATTTTGGGAATGACTGTGCCGTTCTGGGTCGTGCTGATGACGCCTGTGCTGCCGCTCTCACTCGCACTGCTCGCCGACGTGCCGAACTGTTGCTGGCCTCGCTCAGAGCTCTCGCTCGCACAGGTCGCCGACGTGCTGGCCAAGATGCCTGTGGGGGCGCGCGGCCTCGCACGGGCCGTCTCGGACCGTGGCCGTGCAGGCCCCAGCCGTGCTGGGAGCACCCGAGCTCCTCCTCTCACCCGTGCTGCTCGCCGACGCACCGGCCAGCGGTGACTGCCGCCACGCCCCCCACAGAACTGTCCTGCGCGGCAGCTGCTGGCCCCGGGCGTGCTGCCGCCCTCCCCATTGCCGCTGCTCGCCGGGACCCCGGCCCCCCGGCGGTGCTGCCCGCACTAAAAGGGGCCCCGCCTCGAGAGGGGCGCTGGGTCCGCGGCGGGCCTCTGGCGCTCGCGCCGCTGGCCCCGCCCGCGCTGCTTTTGTGCCGGCGTGCGGGTCACAGTGGCGCTGCTGGGCTCGCGGATGCTGCCCTGGGTGGCGGAGTTGGTTCCCAGTCGTGCTGGCAGCCCCTGCCCTCTCCTCCTCCTCCTCCTCCTCCTCCTCCTTCCTCCTCCTCCTCCCCCTTCCTCCTCCTCCTCCTCTTATTCTCTTCTTCTCTTCTTCTTCTTCTTCTCCTCCGCCTCGCTCCTCCTCCTTCTCCGCCTCTCCTCCTCCTCCTCCTCCTCCTCCTCCGCCTCCTCCCCTCCTCCTCCTCCTCCTCCTCCTCATTCTCCTCCCTCATCATCATCATCCTCCTCCTCCTCCTCCTCCTCCTCCTCCTCCTCCTCCTCCCCCTCCTCCTCCTCGCTCCTCCACTGCTTCCTCTTGCTTCTCCAGCCTCTCCACATCCTCATTCCGCTGATCCTTCTTCGCTTCCCCCTCCTCCTCGTCCTTACCCTCCTCTTCCTCTTCCTCCTCCTCCACATCCCCCGGCCCCCTCGTTCCTCGTCGTCGCACCCCTCCTGCTCATCGTCCTTCGCCTGCCCCCGCGTTACCACACCCGAAGCTTGTGGAAGCCACAATTGGGCACAGCGGGACTTGCCTACCTCCCTGGCGTCACTTGCCGGCGGAAGGTCACAAGCAGCGCAGTGACGTTGTCGCGGGAGCGCCGCTGGTCGATCGCCTGCTCGGAAGAACACGCGCGTGATTCACATTCGGGCATGTGCGTGTTCCCCGAGACGGAGCCATGGGTGCATTCGAGCACATTCGTGTTCTTACGTACACGCACGCGTGCGAGCACGAGTGTGCGAGCGTGTATGCATGTGCACGCCCTTGGCCCCGCCACTTGTTTCCTCGTATTCGTCAGAGTTTGCCTTCTCCTCCCTCTCTTCCTCCCCCCCTTTCCTCCTCCTCCTCCTCCTTTTCCTCCTCCTCCCCTCCTCCTCCTCCTCCTCCTCCTCCTCCTCCAACTCCTCACCCCTGTTCCCAAACCTGGTCCCGCGTGTGCTGCTTCCCGCCCTGCCCACCCTGAGAGTGTCCCATCCGTCCCAACCCCTTCGACCCTCCTACCCTCATGTTCGTCATCCTTCTTCTCCTCCCCTCCCTGTTATCCGCCGCGCGATTATACTCCTCTTCATCCCCCTCCCCGTCGTCACCTTCATCATCACGAACCACCGTCACCGTCATTGCCATGCTGCTCCTCCTCAACATCACCAACACCATCCACACCATGATTATCCTCTTCTCATCTACATCATCGGCCTCGGCATGCTCTTCCCATTGCCAGACCCCTGGCCCCCTCATATTTCGCAAGTGACAACCCTACTACCCGAAGCCAGCCTCACTGCTTCGCTGTATTCCCAGCAGAGGATTGCAATCGTGGCGATCGCGACCTTGACCTACTGCTCGTACCCTCCCGATCGGTCCTCTTCGTGCCATTGCCTAGTTGTCTGCACATCAGTCATGGAATGGTGAGGTCACTGTCGTGTTTGATCAATTCGTCCAGTTAAGTATGCAACTTCATTTCGAGTGACACTCCCTGCCCGACGCGCAGCCTCGTGAACGATGTCCTCCACCACTCGCTTGGGATCCTGCTCGCTCGCAGGCATGGCAGCCAGGCGTGAGTGGATGAAGTCGACCGCCTCCTTCGCAAAGCCGGGGCACTCCATCGCCCGCAGTCGAGGAGGACGGTGTGGGGCGGGCTCGAGCTGGCGAGCCAGAACCAAAGACAGGGGCCCCCAGATGACGTGCCATGCACCCGAAGCTACTTCAACGGGGGAGATCACATACAGCAGGAACGTGTCGTGCCGACTTCGGCGTCGATTTCTGATACCCCAGGGACCTTCCGACCTGGCACGATCCCAGCGGGGATCGCTCAACCGCCCGATTCTGGGCCGCTGGCGGCGTTCAACGTTGAACGCCGGCGGCGGGGTCGCCGCCAGTCGACAGAACGCGGCCCTACTGTGACACAAGCTGGTTCGGGAAGGCGGAGGCGAAGAAGGGTTCGAGCAGGACCAGACATACCTCTGACAGCGCTTCGCCCTTTCAGAGTTCACCGATCAGACGGGACCACTACCCGATCCAGGGAAACGCTGGCATTCCAGCCGCCCTTGCCCTAAGCATTCACCAGGTGGAAATACATGATCCACGGGCAACACTCCTCGCTGCCCCCCCGATGCCTCAGGCTGAATCAGACCAGATAACGATCCCATAGGCAACAACCTGAACAGACTGCGCCATTCTACCAGGAGTGCGCGCGCGTGACCAGACCAGGATTCCGAACGGAAGCACCACTTGACGAAACTAGACGGGCACGCATATCCGACCCTCTTGAGAGCTGCCCTCATCCTAAGTACCCCTCCTGGTTCTCCCTTCGTTGTTCCCCCTCCCCATTAATTTCCCCCTGCCCCTAAACTGTTCCCCCTGGGTCACGTATGCTTTCTTCCTTCTGCGCGCACCTGCTCATATGACGGAGCAATTGTCTCACGCACCCATTTTCCTCCGTCTCCTGAAACTCCTACTTCCATTCCTTGTAGCATCCAGCTCCGCCTCATCGTCCTCCTCCACCTGCTCTCTCCTTCCTCCCTCCTCCTCCTCCTCCTCCTCCTCCTCATTCTCCCTCCTCTCTTCTCCTCGTCATCATCCACACTCGCCCTCAACACCATTCGTGCAATGACAAAGCCATGGCTCAGCTACTCATATTGCTCCACACACATCCTCCGTTCTCATTATTGTTCGTGCTCCTCTTCTTCTTCTCCTCCTCCTCCTCCTCCTCCTCCTCCTCCTGCTCTCTCCTCCCTTCTCATCCTCCTCATCCTTCTCCTCCTTCTCGCTTCATCCTGCCCCTCACCTCATTATCCCCATCTGTTCCTCCTTCTTCTCCCCCTCTGCAGTTTCACCTCTCCTCGAATTCTGTGGAAGAGGGGTGGAGAAGGGACACCAGCTGCCCAACAGACCCTCTTGCCCATGGGTGTTCTGGCAACCACTCCCTGCCAGCTCCGCCCTCGCCGTTGTCCCTCCTCCACAGTAATGCGACACTTAGACGAACACGCTGGAAAAGGTGAATCAGGGTTCGTGTGCGCGTAGGCGTAGGCACGATAGGACAACAGACATGATCAACCACGCAGGAGATCCTCTCGGCGCCTCCTCAAGGCCACTTGCGGGGGCAAGTGCTCCAAGAGAGGCACCTCCCGCCGCAGAGAAGAGGCCGTGATCTGAGGCGACGACAGCGGATGGCCCGAGAGGCTAGGCTAACCTGAGGGTGCCGACGATCTCTGCAGAGCGCCCAGAGGGCCGTCCTGGATGGTGAAAACAGATGGAAGAGGCAGGAGAAGGGCAGGACGATCACAATGTCATGATAGGATTGGCTCCGAATGCGTTTCGGGATTTCCAGAAAGAGCAGAAGGATGAGGGGGGAGGAGGAGGAGGAGGAGGAGGAGGAGGAGGAGGAGGAGGAGGAGGAGGAGGAGGAGATAGACGAGGAGAAGGCCGTCCTGGTTGGTGAAAACATCGAAAAGACCGTCGCACGCCATGAAGAGGAAGTCGTCCTCGGGGACCAGCTGATCTCCACGGATTTCGGGCTCCGCAATCACCAAGGACTTCGCGTCGGCGTCGCCGTCGGGGGGGGCCTTGTACTCCTTGTGCGGGCGAGGAGTGGTTGGCCAGTCCGGAGATAGGGAAACAAACAATGGCATAAGCATAAAAACTCGGAGGTCCGAGTTTTTATGGTTATGTCATTGTCTGGTTCCATAGGAAAGCAGGAGCAGAAGGGAAAAGATCAGGAGCGCAAGGATATGTGAGGGAAGGAGCAGCAAAAGGAAGAAGGGAGGGCACGTAATGCGTCTGCGCTATACCGTGCTCCCTGGGCGCTTCCCGACGTCTGTGCCCCTGGCCCCAGACAGCAGCGAGGGCAGTGCATTGACACACGATGTGTTACCAGGGAGGCGTGCTGCGCAAGCTGGCATGGGAGGGCTCGGGAGCAGAGGGGATGGCGAGCGGGGGAGGGCGGAGGGCGGAGGGCGAAGCAGGAGGGGCCAGGAAGGAGGGGAAAGGGAGCGGAGTGGGAGGAGGGAGCGCGAGAGATGGAAGCAGCACCGCGCAGACCGACAGCGCAGGTCGAACGGAACGGGCTCGAGGACAGGAGTTGCCTGCTGCTCGTGCTCTTTGTTTGCACTACGAGCCGGCATGGGGCGCCCCCGGACGGCAGCCGCAGGAGGGCAGCGCCCGCGCGAGGGCAGGGAGCGGCACCCGGAGGGTGCGGCTGCCTGGCACGGTGGCCCGGCCGTGCGCGGGCTGGCCAGGCTCCGAGGCGCAGACGGGTGGACGAGTTTTTGTTCGGGAAGGCAGAGATACGGTCAACCCGTACAGTCGGGGCGTTGACCTGAGGAACGATAAATAAGGAACGAGGCCCCATTTTTCCTCAGGTTTGACTTCGGTTTCCGGTCGAGAAGCGAAGGACAAGCCAAAGAAAACTGTAAAACAACTAAGGAGCACGGAGCCCCTCCCAAACGAGAAGGGTTCCTTCTTCAGCGCTCCGACTGTATGATAAGGACGCCCGACAAGGATGCAAGGGCCTTGGAAGGCCATGCCGCCACTTTGCGAGCGGGGCGCGGCCAGCGAAAGCGGCCAAGGATGGGCCGAAGAGGAAGGATGCAAGGGTAGCCTTGGAACGTCGCTCATCCGTACTACGCGGGTTGACTGTAGAGGAAATGGGCGACCGAAACACATCTCGAGTATTCTGTGCACTCCGTGGCAACGCGACAAAGAAACAGCTCAATCGGATACAGGTTGGCGGAGCACGGTGCTGATGGAGGGGGGGGAGAGGCAGAGTGCAGGAAGAGCCTCGTCGCAAGGCCCGCTGCAGGCTGGAAAGCTTGCGGAGGCGTTGGGCACCCGATGCCCCTTCAAAGGTCGACGAGGATGCATAGCGACAAAGTGAGGGGGAGGAGGGATGGGGGAGGAAGGAAGGAGGAGGAGGAGGAGGAG